GTTTTGTAAGGACCCCCTTCGAAAATGAGATGATGCATCTCAAGGGGCTATCTGGCTGCTGCATGAAGAAAATTGGCAATACTGCTGTGAATAGCATATTATGTAGGATACGATCAGGGATTTTATGAAATTCATTGAATATCACGATCCAGTGAGATAAGTTGGAGCACATGAAGGGAGAAGATTGAATCTTGTACTGTATGTACAGAACATTCTAATACAGCTTGTGAATCACATCAGCTTCAAGAGCTAGCACATGCACTGCTTGCTTTAGAGGTTTGTGATGTTCTTGAAAAGCAAAGAATGGCACTTGGTAGATCTCAGTGCCCTTTTCAGGAGAAGAGAAAAGCCTTTTTTCTCTGTAAAGTGCACTTACTTGTAATCGTCCGTGTAGGCAAGAGACCTAAAGAGCTGTTCTCAAGCATAACACAAACTCAACAACAGGTAAAGGACTGACTCACAGCCAGTGAATGACAGCATAGTGATCAATGTGAGCAGTTTCGTTCTCAGAAAAAAAAAAAGTGAACTTAATATAGCTGCAGTTCCAGACGCATGTTGTTTTATCAATACAGTACATACCTTATCTAGGCTACTCTCTCTCGCCACCGTCCCCCTCTTCCTCTCGCTCTCTTTTTCCCCATTTCCTCCCAACCACTGGCTCCTATCCGGTTGCCATGGAAACTCCACATATGCCTCGAACAGCTGTTTTTTTGTTTTTTTTTTGCAATTTTCTACAAAATGACTTTGCTTTGTGCCCACTTCCCCCCATCAGCCAGCTCCTGATAGAGGTTGACATCAGCATATAATCAAACACTTACTGACATATATACTGTAAAGGTTTAAACACAGAGAAACAGTCCGTGCTGCTGGTGTGGGTAAAAACACATAGCTGTTTAAAGTCAATGGATTTAAATATCACTTGACCAGTTTTTCTTTTAAGCGACATTACTGCAGAGATTACTATAAACTGTAAAACTGCAGCACTTCTTGTTACAATTCTACAATTCACTTAGCAGACTCTTTTCTCCAAAGCGACGTACATCAGAGAGTAAGAACAACACAAGCAAGGATCTAGAAAAAAGGGAACAATGTCAGTAAGAGCAAACGATCAGCTTTGAGTCTGATTGGACACACAGGTGCTGACAGGAAGTGACCAGAGACAAAGCACAACATTGAGGGCAGTTCTTGAGAGATCTAATCAGTATAGAAACCATCTTATAAGTCGTCGTTATCAAACAAAAACCATCGTCACAACCATCATCATCATCAATAATATGGAGACCATCATCATTAAGTTAGTAGGTATTCATGAAAGAGCTGGGTCTTTAGCTTTTTCTTAAAGGTGCAGAGGGACTCTGCAGATCACATGGAGTTTGGAAGTTCATTCCACCACAGAGGACAGAGGAGGCGACAGAGGAGAAGAGTCTAGTCAGCGTCTTAGGACCCTGTTGTGAAGGTTGTTGTTAGCACTCGAGTTTAGTGTATGGCAACATGTCGGTGCTAGTATGTCTTTTTGTTTTCTTGGTATTATTTATGCACGTCTTAGACAATGTTGTTCATTATATAACTGGGTTATAACTGGATAAAATGTAACCATATGAGAACTCATTCTCTACACTTCTAAAATGCCACAGCAGCTTATCCTTGCTTTGTGTTTGTACAACAGCTGTAATTCCCCTGAAGCCAATCAGATAGTTTGGCATTTTCAGTAGCTTTAGAGTTTTACATAAGGAGTGCATCTGAATCCATTCTGCTATTGCCCTGACTTACTCTTTGTGGCTATCATAACACATATTAATACACAACAGGAAAAAAAGTTTCAATGTTCATATGGACACCTGAAGAGTGTTGTATAATAAACATGAAAATGTTGTGTGAACCCATCCTTTACGTTGCACTTACCACTAGAGAAACACAAAATGCAGATAGACATTTTTTTTTCTATTTCAAATCCAGACATGAAAACAGTGAACGCCTACGCTTCAAACACAGACCAGAACTGCGGTCAGTCTTGACAGATCTCCCAATGGAACAACAGTTATATTGATTCCTAGTGACCATAATGTCAGACAAACACTTTGCTCCTTTTCTTTAACTGCCTGAGGGTCAATATGGAGCTCTTGACCTTTGATCTCTCTTTAGGTGTGTTCAATGATGTGCCATAAAACCCTGCTGGGGTCTTCTATCACAGAGTAACATTAAATGGCTCTGACAGATGAGATTTATAAACCGGTTAAAGTCCTGACCGTGGACACTCACTAATTTCATGGATTATTTCTCCATGTTAAACCTTGAATACTTACATATCACTGCTCCACGTTCATTAATGGCCGCCCTGTGAAATCCTGTTTAATGGACAGGACAAGCAAGAGCATTATCTAGTCCCTTGTAACGACTTCAGAGCTAGATGAGCCTTAATTGGTGGTTTCCAGTCTTGAGCCTCTGCAGTGCGCTGAGCAGACGGGAGATAATTGTGCTGATTGACTCCGAGCATGGCCAGCTTGTTTCTCATCAACCATTTAAAGGCCGTTAAGTAGGTACAGGCATTAGAAGAGTAAGGATATGTCTGTGTGTACAGTCTGTGTTCTGCCTGATTAGTCAATTAACTGATCAGAAGATTGACAGCAAATTAACTGACGGCTGTATTGATCATTGATAAAAATGTGATTATTTTCTCAATTGGAAATGTTTAACAAGAGTTACTGGTTACAGTTCCTTCAGTGTTGGAATTGTTCAAATTAGATGTTTTTATTCATAAATTCATGAATGGAAAAGCTCTCAGTATTTGACTGTTTCTCAAACAGTTAGTCAGACAAAATGAATAATCTCAATCACTCATGGTAGGGATTGATTATCTGCTCGAATAAGCAAACACTAGTTTAATTTAGAGAATGACAGAAACTTGCCCACTCACTCATTTCGCGCCGTTATCAGCTGCAACATGATACAATGTTTGCCCCACACACACAAATACACACACACACACACACACACACTTGAGTCCCCACAGTTCGCTGAGTCAGGTGACGAGGCTTTTATAGGTTTGGTGGCGTGGGGATGCACTCCTACGTAATACTGTACTCCACACAGCCGTTAGAATTTTTCAAACGGAAGGGCAGACACTTTGCACATTTCTAACACAATATTTCAAATTTCAATACTTTGTACTCAAATGTCGCGATTGGGACTTGGATTGATCCAGAACACTACTTAATACTCAAATACAGAGGTTTAGAGTTGAAGAAAGTGGTTTTAGGGTTTAGTTATTCTTTAAAGGCTTTATATACGATTTTTTGATCCAGCAGATGTCGCCCTTGAGCACCAGCATGAAACCAAAACAACTCGCACTGCATTGTTGTGTTAGCATGCTAATGCTTGTGATCTTTATTATGCTGGTATCTTCACACTGCATGTAAATTTACCTGAAATGAGCGTGATCTAGAAACACAGTTAAGCAGTGAGTACAGTATGTTATTCTTCTTTTCTCTAGTCCCTCAATTAAACAACTTTTATACACGAGGGGAGGAGTCAGCCGGCCGTCCAGGCGATGTAAACAAAGTGAAGATAGGACTCTGAAAACATCACAGACAGCATATAAAGCCTTTAAGAACTGTATGCTTTTGAAGCTGTTGCAGAAATAATGAAATATAAGGATAACAGGTGGAAGCAGAAGAAAGCATTAAGAAAGAACTGTAACAGGCGTAGCTTGTTGACGCAGTTTAACGAGTCACAAAATGCTGATCACAAGAAATTTTGTTTTGTTTTGTTGTTGATGATGCACATTTTTTCAAAGTTTCATTGTTGTTTTGCTGTATTGCATTATCATGTGCTCTATGTATCTTTACTTAAACTCAGTATGCCAACACGTCTATAAGGTCCTGAGATATTAGTATGTATTAGTAAAGTGGTGTTTGAAGTTAAGCAAAGAGTTAATTAACAAAAATGTGTTGTGTGTTTTGCTTTTTGTGGGTTACATGAGGTTATTTTGAGCATGTCTGTGTCGAGGTTATGACCCCTCATGGGGGTCTTCAAAAGGCTTCATTAGTGGGAATTATCACCGCCATAATAACCATGGTAACTGTACTCACTTAATGCCATTAGGCGTGCTTAAAGACTGTGTGTGTGTGTGTGTGTGTGTGTGTGTGTGTGTGTGTGTGTGTGTGTGTGTGTGTGTGTGTGTGTGTGTGTGTGTGTGTGTGTGTGTGTGTGTGTGGGGGGCAGATTGCGTGACAGTGGTGGCTGTTTTGCTGGTTTAAGGTCTTGCAGGGGTTTGCCGGAATCCGTCTACTACTGTCAGTGTCTCTGAAATCACATATGTCCAAACCCAGCACGCCATCTCTCCTCCCTCCCCTGTTTGTCCATCCTGCTCTATTTATTTCTCTCTCTCTCTCTCTCTCTCTCTCTCTCTCTCTCTCTCTCTTTCTCTCTCTTCTCTCTCTCTCTCTTCTCTCTCTCTCTCTCTCTCTCTCTCTCCTCCTCTCTCTCCGTCCTGCTGTGCTCATCTTTTGTACATGTTTAATAAAAGATAAATCGGTGGTACAGTAAAATCACTCTGACCTTGTTTGGCTCACTACTGATTGGTTCATGGCTGACTGCTTGAACTTGGATGTAATACTTGGTGTTTTCTTCAGTGGATCTGTGTCAGTGTGTGAGTGGGTTGTGCGGCTCACTGGAGCTTACAGGATGTGATGTTAAAGTGTGTAACCCAGAGTCTGTCTGAACTGCTGGTCGAACAAGAAGTTAGCAAACATACACACACTCATCCTTAACACTGATTCACACTGACACGTCAAGGACAGTTAGAGGACACTACACACATTGGTTCTGAGTAGCAGAGATCTGTGTGTGTGTGTGTGTGTGTGTGTGTGTGTGTGTGTGTGTGTGTGTGTGTGTGTGTGTGTGTGTGTGTGTGTGTGTGTGTCTTCTTAACATGCCCTCAGCAGTCGGTCTGTCTCCACATACAGCAGGTGTTAACATATCAGTGCTTTGTTGTGTTGCAGTGATTCGTCTCCTGAAGGAAGGAACAGACCGCAACACACCCACCGCTTCTGGGGGATCTTTGCTGCATCTGGTAAGATATATACACACATTGACAGACATGTGTTTATGACAATTATAAGATACATTATACTTAAATTCATTCATTCTGTGCAGTTAACTATAACTGTTCCAGTCTTCATTTTTCTACTTTCTTTTTGACCTTGACTACAACTGGAAATAAAAATAGTTTGGGCTATTTCAGCGCCTTTCTCCATGTCTGCCACCTTACTTTGTTTTCGATGCATTTATAACTGAACCAGTCATGTGTACAAATAGTTGCTTTAAGAAGATTGTGTTTTCTATGAACTGGTAATAACGAGTGTCCTTGTATTCACTGCAGTGTGCTCGCCATGACAACGTGTTTGCTGCAGAACTTCTGATTGAGCGCGGCCTGAATGTCAACCTGCAGGATGAAGACCTGTGGACAGCCCTGCATGTAGCGTGTGTGTGTGACCATGCAGATGTGGTGCTGCTTCTGCTGCTGGTAAGAAACACACACACACACACACACACACACACACACACACACACACACACACACACACACACACACACACACACACACACACACACACACACACAAACATGCTAATACGTCAGTTGGTTGCAGTTTTAGTAATTTTCCTGTTGATCCTTGCAATTTTAAGCGTTTCAGCTACAATTAGATTAGTGTTTCCTTGTTGCAATTTAACTTTGAACCAGCAGCTTAGTCATCCTGAATGTTCTTACCAAATGCAACATCTTCCGTCGATGAGAGGGTTTGGATTAGTTAAGTCTCTTTAAACACAAATGTCCAGTCTCAAACCCAGCTGAATCACTGAAACCGAGTTTATTCAGAAATTGCGCATTAGCATGATATCAAAGAAACAGCCTGTTCTGTAGGGGGATGATTCTAGCTCTTGTCGGCTCTTTCTTTGACAAGAGCTGTGGTTGTACTGATTAGACACCACTACGAGAGCAGGGCCAGCTGCAGGGGGAGGGCAGGCACATCCAGCACAGTCACTCAGTCAGCTGGGTCTGTTCTGCATGTGCTGATTAGACCCGGAGAGGGTTCACTACATTCTAAAGTGTCAGTAAAAATCCAGTTCAGCCTGGTTCTGCTGGTCCAGAGTGATTGCTGACTGCAGGTCTGCGGGGCAGGAAAGAGACACTCTGCAGAGGAACTGATATGTTTGAAGACATGCCAGGCAGAGGGGTGTGCAGAGTGGATCTATCAGCCTGCACTGACTGGACTGTCGGTTCATGTGTTTGTGTATTTGCATGCATTTTAATTTCCCGGAAGGCAAAGATTGATGCAGGCTGCCTATTTGTAGAGCGGTGTGTGATATAGATCCGCCGTATGCAATTCATGCAGTGACTTACGCCTTCATGAAAGGCTATACCATGAGAGAGATTTAATACTGCTCCCTGGGAGGCAGTAACTGAAATTCTCCCATTAACCACCAAGACAGAACTATTTTCGAGGAAATTAGGTCATATTTACACATCTCTGCTGGAGGAGAGGGAGATAGAGGGTGTATCGAAAGAAATAAGGATATAAGGAGTCAAGAGCTTTAATATTTTTCCACTTTAACATCAAACATTTTTTTCAGCCTGAATGTCCTTTGACACAAACTGCTTATTTATCTGTCTCTCTGGACTTCTGTTAGCAAGTGTGACCCTGTGCGTGCTTAATGTTTAATATGCATGTTGTTGTGAGGAGACTTCCCAAGAATAAAAGGGGGAGTTGAAAAATATTTATTCGCAAAATGGTGCATGTTTTTTTTTTTTTTTGAATAGGGTGAGATAAACACTTGGTTATTATTTTTTTACTGGTATAGTCAGAGTCAGAGGAATTCTGAAATGTCTAAAATGGCTCAAGTCAAGCCATATTTAAGATAGAGATGTAATATCCCATTTCTTCCATTCATTTATTTTGACACCTGTCTCCTCCAGCATGGACGCTGCCGGTGCCCAGTCATTCTGCTCTGTTCTCAAACTGCTGCCTTATCAGAGCAGTAAGTGGGCGATCGTCCCTCTGAATATAATGCGTTTACATTTTAATGAGAAGTGGAACAGCGTTCTCACTAGAGCAGCTTGACTGGCAGCTTTATCACCGATGGGCACAGGGAGGAACAGTTCTGCTAATATGTACTAATCTATTGTGTCCTTCTCTGTCTCTATTCTCTGCTTCCCCCTCCCCTCGTCCTCTGCGTCTCCGTCCTGGATTTCCCGTCTCTGGTGCCTTCACAAAGAAGCAGAGAGATTTTTGCTGACAGAGATTTTACCAGGCTTGCCTTGTGGGAAAAGCTGAGGGGTTTGATGGGAAGTCTGGGCAAATTGTCCCTCTGTGTCCAGATTGGCAGTGATGCTAATTCTCTTATCATCTGCCTCCAAACAGCAGGAGGAGGGAACCGTTCCTAAACTATCTCATTCCCAACCCATTTCCAGATGAATTCCCAAACCCTATTTCTAGCTCCAGCTCCAGTTAATGTTTGTCATTGAGACCCATGCAGGACAAACAGGCTCTTCTGAGGCATTGTGGATCGTCTCTTAGCAACTCTAAGCAAGCTTTTTGTGCATGAATAATTATTCAATACTAGTACAGTGTTAGTGTAATATTTAATGATAGAACCAGTTTGATCCTTAAACGAAAACAGACCCAAATACCCGTTACATTATAGAATACCTAATTAGACTTGGCATTAACTCATCATGATGACTCAACAGAGGCGCTTGATCTCCATGTGTTTCATCTTAGCTGTCCTTCCATTCATAGCCACAGCTGGAAAGATACTTATCAAATCTTTCTCCTTCTACTGGCTCAATTATGTTGTCCTTAATGCATTCCTTATAAAACTCTGAACTAGAAAGCCACTGAGTTTGGACCAAATAGATGTGGGAAGTGATTAGAGTTAATTGCATCGCCTGATTCTGCTTCAGCATCTCCCTTTTAATGCGGCATTGCATTTCAATTGACTTCAAATTGGTCTTCATTGCATTTGTTCTTTTATATTGGACATTTTATCGTTCAGTATGAGATTCTAGCTTCAAGATGTAGCAATGCAATCATGAGATACATGGGAGACAGGTTCAGTACCAAACATGTTTTTTTTTTTCTCATCTCAGCTTAGACTGCAACAGGGTTACAGTAGCAGGGATGACCCACTTTCCCTGTTTGTAAATGATGAATACTTCTCAACTCTGAGTGCTTTGAACTCAAACTATTTCACAGTAAGCCCCCGGCTGCCCCCCAACTCCACTTATCACCAGTTGAGTATTCTGCTGATAATGTTGCTCTGCTTCCCCCCGAACATGACACAAGTTCATCCCACGATTGTTGCACATTTCTTCGGTCTATAATTAGCTTTAAGTTACAAAACCTCAATTTTTATAAACGCTTTGCACAGTATTTTAGGCAAGGCATATATAATATATTAAATAAATCACCTATTTGTTTAATCTAGATGCACATGAAAGTCAATGTTTTATGTTGTGTTAACACTACATCATGTCTTTGCATCAATCGGCATGATGCAAAGTGTTACAACAGAAAGAAGAACAGTCAGGAATGATTTATGGTGATTTTAGAAAAACCATAATCTTCACAGCTTTTTTAGCACACTGTTGTTTTCAGCAGAATCACTGCAGCACAGCAAGCAGATGTTGTGTGCTGCAATCAAGTAGTGAATAATGAGGCCGTTGCTTGATTGAAAAAACATGCTGCTCCTGGTGCATTTCTTTGTCACAAATCTTTAAAGTTTTAGATTTTATTGAAAGTAGATCAATTTGCAAAAATGCTGAAAATATTAGAGTGTAAGGAATCTTTAACAAAAAAACATTGAGCTTGTATTTAAAAGCATTTTTGTTCAAAGTATACAACAGAATAGAAGCTGGATTTATATTTATGGAAGTAGAAATACGTCTACAATTCCTGGCTTATTAGAAAAATAAAATTGAATTCAGGATTAATATAAATTAATGCAAAATATTTCTCTGAAATACATTTTTCTAAATACAATAGTGTTGGTTTCAAACTAAAGGTGAATGAAAAACCATTTGTCCTGCATTATTTCTATCGAGCTGTGTAGTGGCGCTCGGCCATGAACCCGAGGGAAGACTTTGGGTGCATATCTAGTGGTTGTTATTGATTCTCTGGCAGTCACTCTGTGTAACAACTGCCATAATAAACCAGTGAAGCAGTGTAGTATGAACAGATTTCCATCTCCATGACGTCCGAGGTGGATTCATCTTATCATGACGGGGCGGGTGTCAGAGTCAGAAGTCAACTTGTTAACCCCTTGGAGCCAACTCGTTTATATCCGTCAGCACTTATCATGTGAGTTTGGACACATGATTAATGGCTTTGGATCAATGGCTGACACGTCATGCTTCCTCAGACATAATCTGTGTCTGTTGGAAAGAACAGAAATTGTGACAGTTATTTTTTACTGTCAAGCTGTGCACAGATAAGCTGAAGTAGCCCAGAAGTAAATCATGTTAGTTAGATTCTGTAAGACATGTTGTTGAGTTTTAATTGTTTAAAAGAATCAGAATCAGATTTATTGTCCAGGTATGCTTACACACACAAGGAATTTAACTTTGGTGAACTGTGCTCTCTTATGTACAGGTACAACATTAAATATCAACAATAAACAGAATAAGAAAAGACTAATATTTACATGACTAAACATGAAACAGTGCAGTGGTGAAGAGTGCAAAAGATGCTGAAGTAACATAATAAGAAAAATGCAGTTATGTGACAGATGGGTCAATTAAACATGTCAATTACAGTATTTACATAAATAAGTGTGTCCTGGTATAAAATGTAACATCTGACTATTTATATACTGTTTTAGTTTATATTGCAGAGTTTTACATAAAAAATCTCAAAGCAACAGACGTATGTCAATGTTTCCAGCTGTTTTTTGTGCAGATGTAGATTGGAGGTTGTCAGTGATAAGATTTGGTTTCTTAAAGGGAGGTATATCTGTTTGTCAGCTGATAACTTCATCCAGCCTGATTCCCATTGATTCTATACCGGTTCTTGAACTAAATTGTCTGGGTGTACCGCACACATCTTTACTAACCAATATGCAGTACACACATGCAAAGGTGCTAATTTAAACCATAGCACATTTAAACAGTAAGCCTGAGTGAAGCTGTCAGGTTTGTGAGGAACATCTTCACCATGATGGTCTAAGCACAAATCCGAGGTGTATAGATGGAGAAGTCTATATTTGACACAAAAAGGTAGAGATGAAATGGAGTGTGTGTTTGTGTATGTTTATTTGTGTTTGTGGTTAGAGGGTTGGGCAGAGGGGTTATAATATCACGCTCCCTCTCCTACCCACTCATCATCTCATATCAATCTCCAAGCTGGGCTCCATGTTGCGATAAGGTTTTTTTTTTCCCCCTCTCATGAATAGTCAAGAAGCAGCGGCTGATAGCAGTTAATGTTAATTAATTCCCTTTGTTAACCCCTAACTAACCCTCAAATGTGAGCTAAACAGCTCCCACAAGGCAACACAGAGATGGGTGAACAATGAAACTGCAGAGCTCACCAGAACTGATCCTCTGATATGGACAGCATTGTGCTTCCTTTATCGCACTGTAACTGCGATGGTGTTTCTGAGATGGAGATTGTTTCCTGAGAACATCAGAATCAGAATCAGAATCAGAATCAGAATCTTGGTTTATTGCCAAGTACATTTACACATACAAGGAATTTGACTTTGTGTATTGGTGCTAAACAATTAACAAGGAAATAAAGCAGAACTAGCAACAACTTAAATAATACAGAATAAGAAGATATTACAATATATAAAATAGAATTTAAAAATAGAAAATATATAAAAAAAAACACAAAATGTACAAAAGGTGCAATGTAGGAGCTGTGCAGTGGACTATGAGAAAAAATCTTAGAGTGCATGTAAGGAAGATACATTTTTAAGGTCCAGTGGGCGTTAAAGGCTTTATATTTTTCACACTTAAATGTAGAAATCAAGTTTATCCTCTAAAAATAACTCTGTGAGTCATGACTGTCTACAATGGGTGTAACACCCGAGTCCCACTGTCTGTGATGTTTTCAGAGTTTTCAGAGTCCTATCTTCACTTTGTTTACATCGCCCGGACGGCCGGCTGACTCCTCCCCTCGAGTATAAAAGTTGTTTAATTGAGGGACTAGAGAAAAGAAGAATAACATACTGTACTCACTGCTTAACTGTGTTTCTAGATCACGCTCATTTCAGGTAAATTTACATGCAGTGTGAAGATACCAGCATAATAAAGATCGCTAGCATTAGCATGCTAACACAACAATGCAGCGCCAGTTGTTTTGGTTTCATGCTGGTGCTCAAGGGCGACATCTGCTGGATCAAGAAAATCACATATGAAGCCTTTAATGTGACGCATAAACCTAATGCATCTGTGAAACATTTTATATCTGCCAAAAAACAAAAGTGGTCTTACTCTGATTAGTAAATCAATTTTTTTTTAAAGTATGGTTTCAGTCATGCTTTTTTTCAACTCCATGTCCTTGTGGTTCTGCAGTTTTCCGAGCACTAAGGTTAACAGCTTTTTGTGTTGTTCTGTCAGAAGGCTCCCTCCTCTCATTTTCAGCCCATTCTCTGCTTTCCTCGCCCCTTTCCCTTCTGTGTCCACCTGAGGACCAGGTCATAAATCTCCGCGCCACACACCGCAACTGGGTTTGTTAGAATTCTATTAGCTGTAAATATTCAATAAGGATCCTCACTTAGGGTCCCCTGTCCCTGTTATCAGACTTGGTGCAGACCAGGATCGCTTGTCTTTTACGGTTTTATTCAAACAACAGCAAGCGATTTATGGCGATCGTCACTTGAAAGGATGCATGTTGCTTTTAGTGCATAACCCTGAGGAAAGGATGATAAAGAATGAAATGACAGAAGTCCACACAGCTACATTTTGCACGGCTTGTACACATTTCTGTTCAACTGGTGAAGCGATGCAACGTTTTTACAAATAATGAGTGCAGCAGAGTTCCTCTAAAGAGACGCAATCAATCATAACCATATTGTGACCAGCGGCTGTGCTGTAGTCAGAGTAACAGTCATTAAAGGAGCCCGAGGGAAGGTCTCCCCTGTTATCTCAGGCTATAATTGAAAACTACTCTGCCAGGGTCCTTGTTGTGTAAACACACATTAATCTTGTCATGCACACACACACACATACTCTCAGACCAGTGTTCCCAGTTAACAGTAACCAACACCCTCACTCTTCACTGCCCATACCCCTCCAGGAGGTTATATAATGAGTTATTTAATTCTCTATATTGTCTGTTATTGTCACAGTGGTTCTGCTCAGGTAAAACACCTCCAGGAAGCCGAGATAATTGTGCCCGCTTTATCATCGATTAAAGTCTGATGAATGACTCGAGTGTAATAAATTCTGTTTGTCTTTTCTGCTTTCTTCTTACCTGTGTCCCAAAGGCCGGGGTGAATGTTCTGCTGCAGGACGTCAACGGGAACATTCCTCTCGACTACGCCACAGAGGGAACCGAGACCAGATATATCCTCCAAAAACACCTTGAAGAAAATGGTAAATACTGGCCCACTCCTCGTTTTCTTGTTTTTGCACTGTGAGAAAAGGCAGGAGAGGTGTCCAATGCATTCCCTATTTTATTTCTCATCAGCAATAGAAGTACTCTCTTTTTATCACAGCACTTTCTGAGAAAGGAAAAATCATTTTCTCATAGTGAATATTCGATTTTCTTCAATTTTATTATTTTTTTTATTTTTTATTTAACCTTTATTTACCCAGATCAGTCCCATTGAGATCTGAGATCTATTTTTTTAAGGGAGACCTGGACAAGAACAGCAGCAACAAACAGTTTCAACATCAAAAACACTTCAACACTTGGGATAATAATAAAAATATAATTCGCTTTAAAGAGTTGCATACAGAAAGTTTGGATTCAAGACTTTTCACTAAAGATTTAAAAACAATCAAAGTAACTAGGTTTTGCAGTTTAAAATCAGACTGCGAGTTGTTCCAAGCAAAAAGGAAGTATTGAGGAGAAGTGTTTGCTTAATATATCCTGACTGCAGTTAAACAGTTGTTGCTTCTGAGTGAAAGTGAAGGTGAAGTACACCCACAGGCCCTAATGACGGTGGATTTCGATTCAGGCACTTTTCTCCCACAGAGAAAGGAGAAGGTCAACACAGTGGCTGCAAATAACTGAGATAATGGCACTGGAGAGTCGGAGGCATGCAGGGTTGAAAATGGTAGAGGCTCAGACGTAGAGGGAGGGGTGGCAGTCGTGGGAGAAAGAGGAGTGGGAGTCATGCTGACAAATCCAGACAGAAACAGACATAGACAATGATGGAGGGTCTTTCCCTTATCTGTCTTCCATTTTGGCCACAGGATCACATGACTGATGTCGAGCTTCCGACTGCAGTCAGCAAACTCATCAAAAGCTCAGACCACACACACACACACACACACACACACACACACTCTCACACTCAGGCGCTCTAACTTCAAGCAGCTGATTTTTTTCTCTGCGTCTGTCAGCCAGCCCCCGTGGTGATCTCTCTCCCTCCTGCCTACCTTCAGCTCCCAAGATACTCCCCCCATCGCTCTGGGCTTTGCCACTATGAAACACACTCTTACTCATATAGGCTCACTCACAGGCGCTCTGTTGCTATAGCAACTTGGCGACAAGCACTTTTATCCCCCATGAAGTTTGTGTGGTTGTGGTAAAAAAAAAAAAAAGAAAACGACAGACTTTCCATGTGGCTGTACATCAGGGGAGAAATAAAGAATCCTCTCGTTGCTGAGTCTCTTTTTGTTTAACACTTTGAATCTTACAAGTATTGGCACCGATGGAGAATAAGGACTCTCTTATGTTGCTGTAATGTTCCTCTGAGCATGTCTCATAAAACAACACCCTGTGGCTCTCATCTGTCTGCATAGACAAACTCATTGATCAGCTAATCCAACCCAGTCTACCTGGAAAAGTCCCATTTTGTTTTGTGGCCTAGAGCTTATCCTCGTGAACTATGGATTCATTGATAATCAATTCTCTGCTATTGCAGCCACCAAAGTTAAGTCAATGTGTGCATGTGATTATGGAACAGTCCATTCATCTTTATAGTTTGGGATATAGACGTCCTTGTTGACCTCTGCTTGCCTGCGCCAGTCCTTGAAGCGAGCTACAGGAGTCTGGAGCTCTGGACGAGAACTCCTATGACTTTCCTTTTCCTTTATGTTGTTATACTTTAGTGTCATCATCATGATCACTTTTTTTGCCATCACTTGAATCTAATTTAATTTAATTTAATTTAATTTAATCGTTTATTTGAATCAGGGACAGTGTACAAAAAAAAACATTAGTCTCAGAAGAGAAGAGATGCTTTGTACCAGATTTAGCTAGCTAGCTAATTTCCATCTGTTGTCCCTGGGCAGCTGATGGCAACAGCAAAATACAAATCAACCAGTCACACACACACACACACACACACACACACACACACACACACACACACACACACACACACACATTTCATAAGAGAGAAGAAAGACAGAACACTTGACAGATATTAAAACATTATGTAAAAGTTTCCCTGAGAGATGTGAAGGGTTGTCAAGATGACACATTAATGCTGACGAGACTGGTTACTTAAAATCCATTTTTTTACTTCTCGGGTGAAAGTTTAAGACTAGTTGGAAGACTATTTCATTCTTTAATGGCTTTAATTAAAATGAATTAAACTTTAATTCAGAAATCTGCCAGAAGCGTCACGATCACCATGATCATTTTGCTGTAATTCAGCGCTTACAACACACATCTCTGTCAGTAAACAGAAAGCCTGACTCAAAACAAGTCCTGTTGAACTGTATAGTTCTAGGGGATTTCTAAATACAGCAGTCATTTTACTAATTAGTCCAAAATAGTTTAAACTTAAGTCTGCTTTAAGGAGTAGTTTGACATGTTCAGTATCAACACATGTGTCTCTCCTGAGCGTAAAGAAAATGAATATTATAAGAACCAGGAAGTCACTGCTCTCCCTGCCAAGAAATAGTCCATTGTGTAACAGTCTCCTAAACTTAACTTTCTTACACTTTGGTTCACATGCAGATTAAACAAATGAGATGATATATTGATAAGTGAATGCGAGAGGTGTAAGGTAGTTTTGTACTGCGCTAGCTACCTAGCTACTTTCATTAGTTTCAAATGTTGTGCTATGCTAAGATAACTATATACTTACTCCAATTTTATTTTCATCTCACAAACAGAGGAGTAAAATTGCTTTCCTCATTTAACTCTAAACTAGAATATAAATAATTCTATTTTCCGAAAAGTGTAGCTTTTCCTTTAAGCATGACAGCTGCACACTTATTACCACTTCTGTGTCTGGATCCTGTGTGTTATTTTTAGGTGTGGATGTCTCATCCATGCACACCATGAAGATGCAGAGACCCAACACAATGCTGTCTGATGTCAGACAGCTTGTAGCCGCAGGGGGAAGCGTCAACCAGCCTGGTGATGACGGGGTCACTCTGGTATGTAAGGTCAAATGTGTTTGTGTGTTTGAGCCGACCTCTCCTTTTGACTCGCCCCTCCACTGTCCATGTTGATTTACAGACACTGCTGCGTCTTCTTTTTGATATCAGAATGTATTCTTTGTTGCTCTTTTTTCTCTGCAGCTCCACATCGCCTGTGCCAGCGGTTACAGAGAGGTGGTGTCTTTGTTGTTGGAGAGCGGGGCCGACCCTCATCCTGCCGACAACAACTTTTGGACTCCTCTCCACCTGGCGGCTAAATATGGACAGGTAACTCCCTGCTGCACGGCAACATGTCACCATATTGTCGAGTTTAATTAACAAGCCCCCTTTCTTCAACTCATCTAGCTACATTGATCCAATGTGATTTGAATCATTTTTAAAATAATGAGGAAATCATTGATGGTTGCCTGCAGTTACCCTGAGCTTGCTCTGATAAATGGCTCTTTTTGAGCTGATTGATCAGACAGTCAAATGTCGGTACAGAGCTGCACTGTATATGCAATTTGTAAGAGAATTTTAGATTAGCTGTGGCTAATGGTCTCTCTTGGAGAAGAGGAGATTGATTTCCAGACAGGGCGGAGGAGGTAAGCGATGGGAACTGGTGGTTTGGGTGGAGTCCAAGTATGATGGGGAGGAAGTGAGCACATTCACATCTTGCTGACCCAACTAGATATTTAATTACATTTCTGGGCTGTGTGCTTGGCTGCTGACGGAGATTTATTTTTTTCATTTGGTATTTAGAGTCACTCTACTTCTTCATCTACCCTTGAGGAATGCTTTTTTCCCCCTCCACTAGAGTGTGTTTTAAAAAATGTTATTCCACCCTGTAGCTCAAACTGCTACCTTTCTTTTATTTCTTTCCTCTCATGATCGTCCTTCAGACAGCACTCTCTGAAGCAGAACGATAACCTCCTGGTGTCCCCTTATTTTCCAGACGTTCTGCACAGACATTTACTCTGCATGTGTTTGTGTGTAATATCTAAGTGCATTGGACTTAAGAGTGGCAGTCTAGAGGATTGGAGAATCGATTAGGTTTCCCTTGCAGTGCTAAATCACCTCAGCTATCAGCGCTCTACTGCTGCCCCCCCCGGTCTGCCTCATGCATACAAACTACTGTGTGAGCCTGATGAACACTCACTTTCTGTCAGCATTCCCTTAAAGCTGATCTGACAGTGACATGTCAGGGATGCATGTGTGAATGTGTGTGTGTGTGTGTGTGTGTGTGTGTATGTGGTCATGTGTGTGTATCCTGCTAAGAAAACCACTGGCCCCACTAATAAGAGGTTCTGCTGATATGAGGCAGAAGCAAACTGTGTTGCCTGGAAACGCATGTTAGTAACTGTAACACAAGCTGGTGCGTTAAACCCAAAGACCCCTTCTGCAGCGTGGCATTCATACTAGACTGACCCTTTAAGAAGATGTATGACCCTCTTACTTTAGCTAATTAAGCCTCCCTCCCTCTGCATTGTGATAAGTCAGACCTTGGCTCTTTGCGTCTTGGCTTGAGTCGAAGCTTTTCAAGTTATGCTCTCGAGAGGGAAAGAATTTTAAATGAGTTTTAGTTGGATTTTCCAAACAAAAATGACGTGATGTTAAACTACAACCTTGCTGGGACTGGCTTTATTTAATTCAGTTTTTTTAATGAAGGTACATGTGAAAGCTGTGGTGAAATATGCCCCAGTTCATTCAGAGGAAAGACCATTTTAGAGTACCTAATGTTAATCACAAAAGGAACTTACAGGTCTGACAAATATTATTCAAAGTACTTTTGGGCCGTTCACAAAACCTTTTCTTTCTTAAGAATCTACATCAGTCATGAAGTACTTTGTCCCCGCTGATCCCGGTGTATAATTGACCTTTACATGGTCCTCCTGTCAACTTTGACCCTTTAAAGAGTTCAGAATCGTGTGGTGCCACTGACGTGCTGTCAGTATTTATAGGGTGTGAGTGCAGCTGACAGGGTCTGTGGGCAGCAGGGACACTGTAGACTCATAGCCCAGCAGCTGTTGACGAGGGTCTGAGCCAGTCTGCTGAATGTGCTGAATCACTCTCCTGTACGGCACAATATGATTTATAACTATGCTTTACAACAAAGTTTTAATACTCATGGTTGTTTTAAAGTGCAAATAAAAAAGTCTGTAAATAATTGATGACGTTAAATTACTTTCCTTAAGTTGTGGGACTCCCAGGAGCAATATTTAAAAAATCCAAAAACCAGAAGAGGCTGAAATAGTCCGACTTTTAGTCCTTCTCATGGGTGACGATCTAAAAACACATTTTCCTTTTAATTCCCATGAAGTAAAATGTGTCATTTGTCAAACTCTGCACTGTCTGATAAGTGAGAGGGTCTTTGTAGCTCCATGCACAAACTGAGATTACTTGATGAAGGATGACCATGAAAAGTTCATCCAGAGCCACAGAAGACTGTACACAACTGTTATCACACGGCTGAGTCGCACTGCCCAAAGTGACTGAAATCATCTAGTTTATAAATCAGTTAAGTGCCCCTTTATCGTTTTGAATTTGAATTTATTTATATAATAGGGACAATGCAATTTAACATAATTTCAAGACAAAGCATGAAACTGATGTGCTGCATAAAGAGTATATAGCTGTTGCTAATTTCCAACTCGTGTCCCCAGTTGGGCCTTTGTGTAAACAAACAGATTAAAATGTACAACATTCAGTTACATAAAACCCCATAACACCATATGAGGATACATTAAAATACATGTACAACAATACAAATGCTATAAACCAGTTTAAAATAAAGTTTTAAGATACTACTTAAAAGTGGGTACAGCTCTGGCTTGCTTTGAGCATTTCACCTGTTTTGTAAAAGATTTTAAGTCGGACATTAATTTTATTTCAGGTGGTAATGTGTTCCAGAGTTTACAGCGTTTGATGGAGAAGGCTGATTGACCAAACGTAGATCTACGATGTTGTACGCTACAGTTTCCATTCACAGTGCTTCTTGTTTCCCTGTTTCCGTACTGTCTTTGAACGCATCTGGAGAGAGGTTCAGGGGCCAGATTGTTGATACATTTAAAAACAAGTTTGAGGAAACATAAATGCATAAAGCTCTCAAAACTCAGTAGATTGTGTTTTATCAGTATGTGACAGTGATGCCACCAGACAGGTTTTTTGTCCATTATTTAATGTATTTTATGCATGTTTCTTTAAACAACATTGATATACTCTTAAATGTAAATCTACACGAAAATCAGGATCGGGCTGACTCATTTGATCCTGATTGGCAGTAAAACTGACCAGAGGATCATGTATTGTGTTCATTACTTACAAGAATGCTGTTTTGTTAAATCATCAGCCACATTCATCTCATTTTAAAAGGATGTCTTTATATTTATTGAGCTGACATTTTAAGGGTTCCACCATCTTTTTGTTCATTGTTCTGAAACGATGAAGATCTTTGACTAACATCATAAAATGAATCACATCACACTTCTTGTATCCAGAACATCTGAGACTCTATATGTACGGTATGCAATTAATAATGCAGGAATAATGAGAAGGAAAGAAGTTGAAGTCAGGATTCAGAGCCTTTGTGAGCTCAGTCTATAAAAACAACAGACAAAACAATAGAAGGTAGAGGTAACAGCCATCACATGTCACTGTGGGTAGAAATCAAAGAAGACAACTGTGGGGCTCTATACCGCTGTGACATTTGATGGAAGACATTATTAAGAGATCTCCTCAGTTAGGGGTGACACTTGTCATCTGTGACATACACTGCATGTTTCATCTGTGTCACAGCATGTTTCTACATTTACACATCTACATCTGCAGTGTAGCGACACAGTGACTTTTAATAAGAGAGACTGATAAATCATTTGAAATCTGAAATAAAAAAAATATATATTCATGTACTGATGGTGTTAAAAAGAAGAAGACGTTAATAGTGCCCTAGAAATGTTTGAATCTCTCTAGGATCTAATGAAAATGGACGTGGGTGTCTCCTCCATCTCTTACAGACAAGCATCGTTAGCCAGCTCCTGCGGCATCGAGCGAACCCGACTCTGTTGAACCGCAACCAAGACAAGCCCTCAGGTAACACATTTAGGCATTCACACACGCACGGGAGGTGCACACAAATACACAAAGTACTGCCACTGGAACGAGCTAACGCGTTTTGTTTTTGAAAAACGAGAGGTAATGGAGCAAAGCAGCGAAGAGATGGATTTTCACATGTTCAGCTGAGACTGTGCAAATGCATTAATAATCACTGTGATAATATAAAGCGCAGTCTCACACATACACACAGTGAACGAGGCTTTGTAATAATCAGTCTCTGAGCTTATCTTTGCTCATCTGAGTGGATCTGCAAGGAGAACTTGTAAATCAATGAAAGGAAAGATTCACAACTCAAGCACTGATTAAATTCTGGTGTTAGCCGTAATCATAAGGCGTCGGTGTTATTAATTTTCTAATGATCACAAATATCCTTTTCTTACCCATTGACATGCATTTTTTTATTTTAATATTTGGAGCCTATCAGATCAACAGGAGAGGTAAATAAAGACAGGTTGCACTGATTCAAACTTCTACCTTTTAAAAACTGTTAACAACTATGAAGGAAAACATAAATCCCCCTTGAATCAAACCCTCATTATTTATATTAGCATTAAAGGCACCCTGAAAGATTTTTGCCAAGTGATAATGTGGGGGGGGTTTTTGAGGAAGGGATGATAGAAACGGAGGGTGATGCAGCACAATTTATTTCTGTTTGCTGCTCCAACATTCTCAACATTGCTGCAGGATTTTTGCAAAGTTATCCACCTTTCCTATCCACCAAATTTGTAATTTGGCTTATAGAACTGAGCACAAAACAGTTTTTATCTCATACACTGTATGGAAATTATGTAGTTTTACATCACTGATTAAAGACACTAAAATGTGAGATTTTATATTTTTACCTTTATTTAACCAGGCAGGTCATTAAGAACAGATTCTTATTTACAACGACGGCCCGGCAAAAGACAGAAGCCTTTTTGGGGCGGGGGGGAAGAAAGGTCAATGTTAAAAGGACAAACAGCACAGTTAGAAGATAGCAGTGTACAACATTTCCAACAACTTAAGAAGCCTTAACTGGTGACTCGAAAATTGGCATTTATATGAAAGATGGTCCGTGTCAAGGCTGACATTTTGCTTACCTTCTCGCTGTTTTGTTCTTTGACGTTCATGAGAAGGCAGAGATGAAGACGACCCCTAACTGTAAAGGCAAATATAAACACTTAAAAAAAAAAAGTTTTGTACTTTTGTTAGTCCTCAAATATTCACACAGAATTATGAATCATTATTACAAAACAACGCTACTGATACCTCAAATCTTTAAAATGTTTTCCCAGTCTCTCTGTTTGTATTTTAGTTTAGATTCAATTCATTCAGTGGTTTATCTGGAATAAAAGCCGTTATTGTCTGATAATCTAAATTTTTTTGCTAATTTCCCCCGCATTGTTAAACCAGGCTGCAGATGAATGTAGTGTTGTCACAAGTGTATCTGATATTATAGTGATAAAAAATGTGTCATACTGAGGGGCTGTGGTCTCCTGACCTCTCCATTGTGGGAGAGAATATCAAAGCTGCCTCCAACCATTAACTCCCATGGCTTCATCACACCTCTGACTTCCTTGCTCTGGCCTTAATCAATAGCTCCTTCCAGCGTGAAGGCTTAGTAAAGATGTGAGACAAGCCCACAGAGGCCGAGGCATCCCACCGCCTCTTTCACACCCGTCCTTCAGCATCCACAAGACGGGGTGGGGGGAGGGGGGAAAGCGAGAGCAAGAGATGGGAGTGTAGGGGGTTGTCAGTCACACAGAAATAAAAAGAAGGGATGAAGCTATTCCCCCTCCCTTGTGTCCTGTTAGATCTCATTACAGACAGGGGGATCTTAACACCCCCCTTGGTCTTAAGCACAGTTGGATCGATCCACACTAAGGGTTCACATTGTGCACTAGTGCAGGCTAATCCACACAGGTAGAAGGAAAAGGGCTGGCATGGTGAAAGACAAGAAAGCAGAGATGTGTTTCTGGTCTTTGGGTATCTCACCCTTTTTCTGTTTTCACTAATGACACTGAATGAAGAAAATACTATTTTAAGAGACGGTGGGTTTTCTTCCCTTTTCATTTCATTATATAAGCAACAAAGCATCTTTAAAAACAACAGCTCTCAAAGTGCTTTTTACAAAAACACGAGGATACTTGGAGGTCGAAACAACAACAAAAACCCCCAAAACAACAAGCAAGACTATTTTAGAAGCAGTCAATGAGAAGATCAACTAAAGGACAAAAGATGAAAAACACAGCAGGGAGAAGATTGAAGGAGGATGATGGTAAAAGAGACGTTACACTAATAACTAACAAAAAATATTTGAAAAATGCAAGTATAAATAAATGTAGGTTAAAAAGTAAAAATAATTATTTATAAGAAAAAGAAAATTTTTAAGAAAGCATTATGGACAAAGACACTCAGACTTTCTGCACCCGTCTTTCCCCAAGTCCCGGCGGAAAGGGGGACAAACAATGGACAAATACCTACCTAAGAGGATCAAGGAAGTCTGTTAAGTAATGAAAGTTATGTGCAATGTAAATTAGGGTTAGGTTAGGGCTCACATAAAAGGAAGTCTAAAGACAATGAATGCATCTCTTTGAATTTAGGTTTTGAAACTAAATGCTGTACTGATTATCATGTCTTGTGTATCAATAGACATTGCAGCGTCCGAGCCCATTGCTGACCTGCTGCTGAACGCAGAGGAGAGCTGGATGCAGAGACTGGCAGACCCCTCTGCTCCTCTTCCATCCACTGACCCACGCTATGACAGCGGTTCACACGACCTCAACACCCCCGTCAAGAACTTGTAAGTTCACCGTTTGCACAACACAATTCTCGTCTTGTGGTTTCTTCTGATCCCGCTCCCTCTCAAAATCCACTTTGCCCTCTAATCTGTCATCTATTTCCCATCCACCCATCACTTAGGAACCCCCTGGGTCTCTCTATCTCTAAGCGGGACAGTCTGCTTGAGAAGTGTGCCATGTTCAGAGATGCAGGAGGAGCACTGAGCCGACAGCCCTCACAGGACAACGGCCTAGATGGCCCCTTTAGCTCGGGAGCCGGTAAACTGGAGCAGGTAACCTTTTTTTTTTTCTTTACAGCTTTTACTAGGAAAAAAAGAAAAGAAAAACATCTCTTTAACCCTCGCGTCGGGGGGGGTTACACAATGAGCAAGATTTCAGAAGAAGAAAGAGACCGCACCAACCCACAAGATTTCTATTTTCTGTTCAAATGTGGCTATTTTCAATTCAAAGGTGTCTCTGTGCAGTTGACTCATACTGATCTTCCATCATGTGTGTCATGAAGCTGGAAATGTATTCATGCATTTTTTTAAATCTTCGAGCAGAAGAGCCAGCATTGCATTTCATCGTGCGCTCTTAATTACTTTGGAGAGAGTTTCATTAGCCTGAAGCGTTTCTCAACTGGCAGGCAGAGAATCTGACAAAGAAATCTAAACATGAAACGTGTGGAAAGTTTTGATTCAGTCGTGATGACTCAGAAGTACTAAAGTATTAACTTGTTGAGCAATATGTGTTGCAGCTCCTCCAATAAATACTTTTGATTATCAAGAACAGGAGTAAACGATAGATGCCCCTGTTTCATAATGAATGTGGATATCAAAGGATGTGATTGGAACAAAGTCCTGCAATATAACTAGAAAGACTTTAAGTTTATTATTTAAAATCCTCTTTGCTTCAAGCTGCAGATTTGTCTTGTTTTTCTTATATTCACTCTCTGCAGGTCAAACTGATGCCTCCAGCTCCAAACGATGACCTGGCGTCTCTCAGCGAGCTGACCGACAGCAGCCTGCTCTACGAGATGCAAAAGCGCTTCTGCAACGACCAAATCTATGTAAGACTCAAAGCTCTGCTAAAATGGAATAAAATCAACATCAAACATGCATTGGAATCCCAAAGCACACACACAAGAGAGAGAAATACCAACACATGTTTTCTCTGAGGCAGAACTGGGACAGTGGAGGGTTTTATTTGTAGTGGGGTTTTTTTCTTGATGGTCTACGAGTTTCCGATTGCGATGTTTGAATCACAACACACATTCTTTAAACCCACGAGCACTGTTGAGGGGTTCCTTCCAGCATATATACTTTTTATGTTTCTCTAAGGTAAATATCAAAAACAAGACGTCAAAAATGCCCTACCTCCTCTTGTGAATACTACTGTTTAGTTTAGTTTAGTTTATTTGCACATTTTTTGAAAGAAGAGTCAAACAGAAAAAAAAACCAAAGAAAATGAGGGCTTATCTCAAAACCTCACCTTAAGAGGTTAAACAAAGTTAAAATAAAATACAGTAAAAATAACAAAGTAAGAATATTTACTATCACAAATAAAATTTACCCAATTGAAAATTACATACAAACATTGAAAACATAAAAAATAGAGCTAAACAGGACATACAGAATGTAGACAATATAACAAAATCAAGTGAAATCAATTCACTATTCACTACAAATCTTTCTGACATCAACACATTTCTGAGTCTCTCTCCTCTATCCTCTCTCCTCTCTCCTCTCTCCTCTCTTCTCCCTCCTCTCTCCTCTCTCCTCTCTCCTCTCTCCTCTCTCCTCTCTCCTCTCTTCTCTCTCTCTCTCCTCTCTCCTCTCTTCTCTCTCCTCCCTCCTCTCTCCTCTCTCCTCTCTTCTCTCTCCTCTCTCCTCCCTCCTCTCTTCTCTCTCCTCCCTCCTCTCCTCCCTCTCCCACACATACTCACACAATTACAAAATCATTACACTTTAGATTGATTAGAAAGATAAATCCATAACTACATACAGGAGCAAAAAAGCCTCCTTCTCTAACAATGGGTCCATTTTTATCTTCCTGTTATTTCCTCCTTTGCTTTAAAGCTGTAGTCTGGCCCACCGCTCTCCATGGGGACCAAGCTTTTCTAAAGACTGGAACCAGATCAATGTGGAGCAGTCCTGTGCACCCCTCTTCTCTGTAAGAGGCAGTAATAGACTGTTATTATGGAAAACCCAGATGGGCTACAGACAGTAGGGTTAGCCACAGCGGGGGGGCACAGATAAGGGGAGGACAATAAAAGGGCGAAGATTGGTGGATGGAGAAAAAAGGAGTGATTTTAGAATTCAGAACAATGAGGGGCGGGTTTGACATCCGGTCCATTTGGAAGAAGAAGAATTGAAAAAGAAAGGACAGTTAGCGAGCAAAGTACGGTTATCATCGGGATGTCAGAGCGCGTCTTTAAACTCCTCTGTCATTTAGAGGTTCGAGGTACACTCACACAGCATCCTCCATTGTGTGTGTAGGTAAGATATCAAAACAGGTTTTATATCTTACCTATTTCCTCTCTCCTCCCTCCTCTCTCCTCTCTCCTCTCTCCTCCCTCCTCTCCTCGATCCTCCCTCCTCCCTCCTCTCTCCTCTCTCCTCTCTCCTCTCTCCTCCCTCCTCTCTCCTCTCTCCTCTCCTCTCCTCTCCTGTTTCCGTTTCCGTTTCCGGTTTCCGGTTTCCGGTGAGTGTGAGTGTGAGTGTGAGTGACGGTGGTGGTGTTGCGAGTGGCGCGGAGATTGAATTGTTTGCTATCCTTTCTACTGTTTTCAAAGTGCACGATCAGGTCAGATTGTTTTCATATTTGTATTGAGTGTTGTTGGCTGTGTAAGACAGATCGTTGGAGGGGTTGGAGGGAGGAATGGCGTCTGCTGAGACGCCACCTCCGACTCTCCGACAGGGAGTTCGGATAGTCCCTCCGAACGGTACTGTCACCGTGGAGGAGGTTCTGTTAGCTGCAGGTGAACAGGTAGGCCATGAGAAACTCTTGTATGCATCCCGAATGAACAAGGCTGTGGTTGTTTTTCTGAAGAGTGAGCCTCTTGTGTATCAGCTGATTGAGAGTGGTGTGTTCATTAGGGATTTGTTTGTGCAGGTTTCCCCGTTGTCGGTTCCCTCTACGCGGATCACCGTATCCGGTGTTCCGCCGTTTATTTCTAACGACTTGTTAGAGAACGAACTCCGCAGGTTTGGGAAGTTTGCGAGTGGTTTCAAAACTGTGAGTCTAGGGTGTAAAGATCCCAAACTGAAACATGTTCAATCTTTGCGGCGTCAGGTGTTCATGTTTTTGGATTCGCCCACACAGACTCTGGAGGTTTCCTTTAGAGTGAAACACGGTGACGCTTCTTATATGGTGTATGCGAGCTCGGGACAACTGAAGTGTTTTGAGTGTGGTGATGTGGGACACAAACGTTTTGCGTGTCCGCACAGACAGCAGGAGGCGGCTAGTGCTGCCGCTGACGCGGGCAGCTCTGTTAGTGTGGCGCATGTGGCGGGGGCCGCGTCCGCGTCCGCGCTTGGGGCGGAGGCCGCGTCCGCGTCCGCGCTTGGGGCGGAGGCCGCGTCCGCGTCCGCGCTTGGGGCGGAGGCCGCGTCCGCGCCCGTGCCTGGGGCGGAGGCCGCGTCCGCGTCCGCGTCCGTGCCTGGGACGGGGGCCGCGTTCGTGCCCGTGCCTGGGGCGGGGGCCGCGTCCGCGTCCGTGCCTGGGGCAGAGGCCGCGTCCGCGCCTGCGCCTTGTGCTGAGGCCGTGGCTGAGGTAGAGGTGGCTTCGACCAGCTCTCAGGCTACAGAAAAATCACAGACTGTAGATAATGATAAAATGAAGATTCCACAAGTTCTGCAGTTGTAGATGTTTCATTGAAGGAAGGTAAGACAGTGTGTTGTAGCCAGGCATCATGTGAAGGAGAGGACATGGATGAAGATTATGAGTCAGACAATGCATCCATTGCTGATTTGCCAAATAGTGGCTCTGGTCTTTATTCTTTAGAGTCAATCAATCAATTTATGGATGAAACGTACAACAAATCAGTAAAAATAAGTGACTACTTTAGTGATACTGAAAAGTTCATAAAGTCAGTCAGCATACTGAAAAGACAGGTTGGGTTTGACCTCCTGGACGCGAAAAAACGGTTCCGTCTTAAAAAGCACATCACCGCACTGAGGAAAGTTGGACGTAAGAGTGTGAAGAAGACAAAGAAATGATCATGCATCACAAGGTGTTTTCTTCTTCTACTGCTCCCTGTTTGTGTCTACTTATCTGTTCTTTCTCTCTGATCTTTCTATGAGGAGTCTTAAGATAGGATCTCTTAACATTAATGGTGGGAGAGACAGACAGAAAAGGGGCCTTATCTCTGAGATCTCAACTCAGAAAAACATTGATATCTTGTTTTTACAAGAGACTCATACCACACCATCAGATGAGACAGATTGGGGTTTATGGTGGGAGGGCTCTAACTACCTTAGCCATGGCACCAACTTTAGTGCAGGAGTAGCCATTTTGTTTAGAGCATCTGCAAATGTAAAGATCGTCTCTTGTGCTGAAATTGTAAAGGGAAGGCTTTTAATTGTAAGAGCAGAAATAGAGGACACTGTTTTCTGCTTCACTAATATTTATGCTCCAAATAATGGAGCTGAAAGGGTAGCTTTCTATACCCGCCTCCAAAAGGAGTTACTGATCTATAATCAGGATCAGATCATTCTTGGTGGTGATTTTAACTGCACACTTGATTTCACCGTGGATAGAATAGGAGAGGAGCCACATCCACATTCATCCCAGACTTTAAACACTGTCATCTCTCACCTGGATTTGTTGGACACATTTAGAGTGAAACATCCACAATCCAGACAGTATACATGGGTCAGGGTTAACAGTAACAGGGTGTGTGCAGCTAGACTGGACAGGGTTTACATCTCCAGAACTCTCAACCCCAGATTAATTCATTGTAATATTCTGCCTGTCGGCTTCACTGATCACCATTTTGTTAGTGTGGAGCTGATTATTTCACCAGGTGAAAGGGCTAAGTCCTTCTGGCATTTTAATAACAAGCTTCTACTGGACAATGTTTTCTGTAAAAACTTTGGGTGTTTTTGGGATCAGTGGCAATTAAGAAAAGTTGAGTTTGATTCTTTGAAGCTTTGGTGGGAGGTTGGTAAAGCTCAGATTCGTGTTTTTTGTCAGCAGTACACGTCACACTCTTCTGCTAGATTAAAAACAGTCATTAAAAATCTTGAGGACAACATTAAGAACCTTGAGGAGGGGTTAAATGGGAGTGTGGATCCCACCGCTGGTACCCTGCTGAAGGAGAAACGTATGGAGTTGAGCTCTTTCCTGCAGGAGAGGGTGAAGGGAGCTCTTGTGCGGAGTCGTTTCCTTCAACTCAAAGACATGGATGCCCCAACGTCTTTCTTTTTCAATCTTGAGAGATCTGTGGCTCAAAAAAAGCTGCTGACTTGTCTGAAACTGCCAGGAGGTCGAATAACAGCTGATCCAAAGGAAATGAGCAGTCACGCCATGCAGTTCTATGAGGATCTGTTTGGAGCAGAGAGTTGCAGCCAGGAGTGTCGCAGGGAGCTCCTGGAGGGTCTCCCTCAGCTCAGTGTGGAGGAGAGGTCTCTTCTGGAAGGGGAGCTGTCTCTGGAGGAGCTCACTGCTGCTGTCACTCAGATGGCAACAGGAAGAGCACCTGGAATAGATGGGTTGTCCACAGACTTTTTTAAGAGGTTCTGGAATATCTTGGGTCTGACCTGCATAGTGTTTTAATGGAGTGTTGCAGGACCGGGTCTCTTCCTGGTTCTTGTAAGAGAGCAGTTCTTTCCTTGCTCCCCAAGAAAGGTGACCTGGCATTGTTAAAAAACTGGAGGCCGGTTGCTTTGCTTTGTGCGGACTACAAGATCCTCTCCAGAGCTTTATCGAACAGACTAAAGGACGTTCTGGGAAGTGTGGTCCATAAAGACCAGAGTTACTGTGTTCCAGACCGGACAATCATGGATAATGTTTTTCTTATCAGAGATGTCATTGATGTGTGTAAAATCTATAATCTAAATGTTGGCATTGTGTCTCTGGATCAAGAGAAGGCGTTTGACAGGGTGGATCACTCGTATTTGTTTTCTGCACTGAGGTCTTTTGGTTTTGGGGATGGTTTTGTGTCATTAGTTGGTTTGTTGTATCAGGATGCACAGTGTTTGGTGAAGATGGGGGCGGGGTTGAGTCGGCCAATCCCTGTACGGCGAGGGATCAGACAAGGTTGTCCCATCTCCGGCCAGCTGTACAGCTTGGCTATTGAGCCCTTGCTGTGCAGGTTGAGGGACCGGCTCAGCGGGCTTTCTTTGCCCGCGGCCTGTAGCATTGAATGTCCCCCTACAATTTCTGCCTATGCTGATGATGTAAACATCTTCATCTCCAATCAGGGGGACGTTCGGTGTCTGCGGGACACCCTGTCCCTGTATGAAAGGGCAACAGCTGCACGGGTGAACTGGGAAAAAAGTGGTGCCTTATTGGTGGGAGAGTGGAGGGACCAGGCAGTGCCCAGTCTGCCGGGTGGACTTGAGTGGGGGAGGGAGGGGTTGAAGGTGTTGGGGGTTTATTTGGGTACCGAGGGCTTTAAAAGTAAAAACTGGGAGGGAGTTAGGGAGAAAGTGTGCGCTCGGTTGTCTAAATGGAAATGGTTGCTACCCCAGTTGTCGTATAGGGGAAGAGTTCTGGTGGTCAATAACTTGGTTGCCTCGACTCTCTGGCACAGACTTGTGGCTTTGACACCTCCAAGAGGGCTGGTGGAGGACATTCAAAGGGCCATCCTGGACTTCTTCTGGTCAGGCAAACACTGGGTCCAGGCGGCAGTCCTCTACCTGCCGGTGGCTGAAGGGGGACATGGACTTATAGACATTCAGTCAAAAATTGCCTCATTCAGACTCCAGACTGCACAGAGACTCCTTTTCACTTGTGGTCCCAGCTGGATGGACATCGCTCGACTGCTGCTGAGGAGAGCTGGACGGCTGGGGTACACTAAGCAGCTCTTTCTGTTAAAGCTTGAGGAGGTGGATCTCACTGGATTAACATCCTTTTATATGTCTGTAATGCAGGCATGGAAAATGTACACATTCAAAAGGGAAAAAACTGAGAGTCTGGGAATGTGGATCTTTGAGGAACCGTTATTTTTTAATGATTTTATAAGGACTCCAACTTTGCAGTCAGCCAGTCTCCGGGCCAGTTTCAGAGAGGCAGGCTGCACAAAACTGGGTCACCTGGTAAGACTGACCCTGGACGCCCTCAAAGAAAGGACCAATATCACCTCCAGCCGGGTGGTTGAAAGAGTGGTGGAGGAAGTCTTTGCTGCACTTCCAGTAAAACTTGTGACATTTCTAAACATTGAGAATCTGTGTGAGCAGTGGAGTGAAGAGGGCGAATACAGCTTCCCATCTTTGTCTGTTACCCCAGATGTCGGGGAGTGGCAGGAAAGAGGAGGTGGACTGCTGTCCTTTAGTACTCCTGTTCTGGGAAAGTTCCAGGATGCAGGGAAAAAGGCACTCTATCAGTCCTGTGTTAAGGTCCTACATCTTCGTGGTCTGTCGGGAGTGAAAGAGTCGAGGTGGATCGAGTTTTTTGGCCCGGAGGTTTCCCCGAAAGGCAGCTGGCGGTCCCTGTACAAGCTGCCTGTTGAGAAGAGAACAGCAGATCTCCAGTGGAGAGTTGTGCATGGGGTTATAGCCACGAACAGATACAGAGCGCACATTGATCCAGGGGTGGGAGAGGAGTGTTTGTTTTGTTCACTAACTGAAACTTTGTCTCATCTGTTTGTTGAGTGTCCCAGGCTCTCACTCTTGTTTGTCCTTATGAAAAGCTTGTTTGAAGCTCTCGGGGAGGATTTCTCTTATGCAGTGTTTGTTTTTGGGCCAAAGTATTCTGCAAAGAAAAAGACTGTACATACACTGATGAACTTTTTATCTGGCTCGGCTAAGTTGGCCATTTGGCTTACACGCAAGAACCGAGCTCAGGGTACTGGCTGTGTGGAACCGGTGCTGGTTCTGGAGGGACTTTTGAAGGCCAGACTAAAGGTAGAATTTGCCTATTATCAAATGATGGACAATGTGCAAGACTTTAATAGTGTATGGGCTGTGGAAGAAGCTTTGTGCTCTGTGGGTGGGGATGGAGAGCTGATTATTCATTTTTGATGCAGTAAATGTTGTTTTTGTTGATGTTGTGATTTTTGTTGCACTTGTTTTGTTTTATGTTTTATTTTTTATTTATTTATTTATTTCCTTCTCTTGATCTGAGTGATGATGTGACAGTGTTATAATTTTCTCCAGGTAGTGGTAAAATAAAAGGTATTTTGAAAACCAAACCTCTCTCCTCTCTCCTCCCTCCTCTCTCCTCTCTCCTCTCTCCTCTCTTCTCCCTCTCTCCTCTCTCCTTTCTCCATAATATACGTATTATAACCCTATGATTTGACTTCCTCCTCCACCTTGTTTCTTTACATAAGCTTCCTTACCTTGCATAAGGCAACAGACAGAGCGCTTTAAGAATGAGGCGAACAAATCAGAGATGAAGTGAAGGACAGAAATAGGTGGAAGACAAAGGCAGTGAACGCTCCATATGTTCCCAGCAGGGTGGTCAGAGACGGGGCTTTGATGAGTGGTCTGCCGCCTTCTGCCAGGAGAGAAGGACCAATGCACCGCTAAACCCCTGAGGAGAGTCGAGAAACTAAATTAAGAGAGGATAGGACAGAAAACAATCATGGAAGGCTGGATTATTCACAAACATGTCATAAGATGAAACAACAGTTGACAGGGAAGTGGCACTGTTTGTCCTGGACAAGTTTTAACTCAGTGAAAAACAAAAAACTTGTGGTATTAATGTTGCTCCATGTCCTTGAGCAGTGGGAATTTGTTCAAGTCATTAACCTTGTGCCGGGGCCTAAGGAAAGAACAGCGTGTTACAGAATGTTAGCAATGTCTGTGCTCTCCCAGGAGACAATGCGCTCGCTCTCAAACTGCCTGACGATTCTTTGAAAGAAACAGAGGGTTAGCATTTAAGCAGAAAGGGTCAGAAATTGGTTATTTTTACCTAAATGGCCTCCGGGTGTGTGTGTATGAGGGCAGGTCCGGTGTTCTTATCGGAGAAAGGTCATGTCCTTCCTGACCTTTTCTGCCATAAGATTACCATATTCTTGTGGTAAGAGAGCCACCACCATGAATACTGATGTTAGGAACGGAACAGGGCAGCATTTGTCTTTTCAGGTCAGGGTTAGCTTCAGGCATAATGTAAGTAATTAACCTAGCTTTTGGTCTGTTTGTGTGTCGCAACGGTCCATTGAGGCAGAGCTTTGTTACCTGAAAGATAAATGTTTCACCCTTATGTAATCACTTTTTGTTCCCAATCAAGTTACGTTGGGGTAAAAGTTCTGTTGTGTTTTGTCCTTCTTTTTTTTTTTTTTAGACCTACATCGGACACATTCTTCTCCTGGTTAATCCAAACAAAGAGCTGCCCATCTACTCCACTTTGGTAAGCATGGCCTTAAACTAGCAATTTCTCTCTTAGGGTTATAAACTATGCTTGTGTGCTTAGACATTTTTAATATTTTATTTGCACATCTGTGTCATCCAAATCCATTCTGAAAACACGAGGCATTTATGCATTAAACATACGGAAATCAGCCTTAAATGGAGGCGTGTTTGCTGTATAATAAGCAGAGCATAACCGGATGAAATGGACCTTGTGGTTGATAAATAATGCAGTCTTCCTGTCAGTGATACATAGCACTGGGCTGCATCAGCAAGGTGAAGAGAGGGATCCAGTTTAGCTTACACACACACTCTCTAATAATCAAAACAACTTTATCTCTTTTAAAAATAAAACCTCATTTTGAAACATTTTTATTAGAAAAACGCAGCATATGTAAGATGTGCAAAGGTTACAGGAGACTGTTAGTGATTGACTCACAGATGTGTGTGAGTGTGTCTTTCACCTTCATTTAAACAGTCATTTTGAAAAAGCTGATTTAATGCCAGCCTAGCACTTACCAGTGGACCCCAGAGGGGTTGGATGGAGGAGGGGACATCCTCTCCTGCCCCCCCCCCCCCCCTTGTTGTCCCAATCCTGCCTGAGTCTGGATCCTCTCCAGGCCTCCACACCAAACTGAGAGAGAGAGTGTGTGTAGGAGCAGAGAGCAGCAGTGTGTGAAGGACATATGTCACAACATGTGTGATCTGCTGGCCGTCTGTCACCCCCTCTGGCCTGGTGGTCCACAACCCATCCTCCCTCTGTCACAGCCACAGATACAACGCAGACACACACCTGCTGGACAGGGCCGATACATCACACTCATCCTACAGTGTGATAGTCAACTGGAGTTCACTGCCTTATACATGTTTAATGTTTTTTTTTTTACTCTGAGTCTTTCCATTTTCTTTCTTCCTTTGGCATGCCTTTTTTTTCCAACGACTGTCTTCAAAATACTTTTTTCAACTTTCATCGTTTCTTTGATAGAAGTCTCCGTCATAGGTTTCAGTGATTCACTTCTTTTGACAACGACATCTGAGTCTTAGCACAACAAGACTGAGATATAACAAATGTCTGGATAAGATTTTTCCTTCCTTTCATGTGTGTTAACCAAAACGTAACAGCTAATGAGAATGATTCAATACTTTGAATCAACATTAAGTTTATGTTGACGGTGCAATGTGAAGTTTTTGTGTTGCAATAAATTGACCAGATAGAAAGAGAGACAGAGCAGAGGAATTGTTGTTATTTTCTTTTTTTGTTTTAGTGTTATATGATCAAGAATTTAGCTTAATAAATTGAAGACAGGCTGCTTAATAATAATAATAACACATTTTATTTAAAGGCGCCTTTCAAAACTCTCAAGGTCACCTTACAGGGCAGAGATAAAAACAACAAAGTAACAACACAACAATAAAGTTAACATTAAAGTCTTTCTATGTGATTTTTCACACTTAAATGTAGAAATCAAGTATCTCCTCTGAAAATAACTCTGTGAGTCATGACTGTCTACAATGGGTGTAACACCCGAGTCCCACTGTCTGTGATGTTTTCAGAGTTTTCAGAGTCCTATCTTCACTTTGTTTACATCGCCCGGACGGCCAGCTGACTCCTCCCCTCGTGTATAAAAGTTGTTTAATTGAGGGACTAGAGAAAAGAAGAATAACATACTGTACTCACTGCTTAACTGTGTTTCTAGATCACGCTCATTTCAGGTAAATTTACATGCAGTGTGAAGATACCAGCATAATAAAGATCGCTAGCATTAGCATGCTAACACAACAATGCAGCGTGAGTTGTTTTGGTTTCATGCTGGTGCTCAAGGGCGACATCTGCTGGATCAAGAAATCACATATAAAGCCTTTTAAAAACAAAAAAAAACACAAATGTAAAGGAGTTATGAGACCGGGTGGGGAATGATCAGACTGAATAGATGTGTTTTGAGATGAGATTTGAAAATGGAGAGAGAGTCAATATTACGGATTTGTGGTGGGGAGGGAGTTCCAGAGGTGGGGGGGGGCAGAGCGGCTGAAGGCCCTGGACCCTCATGGTGGACTAAAGTGCTTAGTTACTTACTGAGGGGTTAGTGAACAATGCACACTCAAACTCACGTCGGAAAGTCATATCCAGCGATGTGTCACAGTCTGGTTAAAACTTTCTCCTCTGTGTGACTCACTGCGTGTGTCTTCTTCATGTTACATAACCATTATCTGCTTTTCCCCTCACAGGTGAGTCAGTTGTACCTGAGCTCCACGGGTCGTCTGTGCTCCTCTCTGCCGCCTCACATCTTCTCCTCAGCGGAACGAGCTTACCACATGATGCTGCTGGAGAGGCGCCCGCAGTGTTTCATCCTCAGGTGCGTCCTGCAAACGGTCGCTCTCAGAATCTTGGACAGAAATGTCAACAAAGTGGAAAAAAAAGTGTGGATTTTAATGGTTCAGTCTGCCCCCCTGGTTTGTTCACACCGCTCTCCCAGGCGACTGGTCTACACTCTGTGAAAGATGAATACCGAGATGTACACCTGAGCATTCACACACAGATGGCGGTTTGCTGGTAGCATTGTCGCGTCTCGCTCTTTGTCCACGGATGGACGGAGGCAGCTCCCTGATTGCAATTAAATTCTGTTCCGGCTCTCCAGTGACATTCCTGCTGAGTTGTAACCAATCTGGCAGAGAGTTAATGCATCCCGGGCCACAGGCTATCCATCTCAATCACACACGCACACACAAACTAACACACGTGCACAGGGTAGGACATTGTACTTTGCATTCTCATGCACACACACTCCCCTGTCTCCATTATTTCCCTGCTCCACTTTATCCTTCCTTTCGGGTTTCTCTTCTGTCCAAGCTTCCTGTGTCCCTTTTTAATTTTTCCCACACATGCACTCAACATGCACTCACACACTCTCCTTCACAATTACAGGGAATCAGCGGCCATCATCCCTCGAGGCCAGTGCTCTAACAACATGCCCTTGAAATCTAATAAAACCAGTAAATGAAAAGACAGCAGAAAGGCCATTGGACCTCACACTCTGCAAGGCCGCACTCAGTAGGAAATATAGCAGTGCACATAGTACACACTGACAAACAGCACACCCATAGCACAGTGCAGTTATTAGTAAGGGCTCCTGACCTTCTGAAGCCATCTGCCTGCTGTTACTATTCTGTTCTCAACTCTCTGCATGTCTGTGTCAGAGCACGACCGTACAGATACCATACGAAAGATTTAATATCAACATCATATGAAATTAAAAAACAATTGAAAAACAAAAAATTGTTGTATGACAAATAAGGCAAGACAAGTTTATTTATGTCGCACATTTCAACAACAAGGTAATTCAAAGTGCTTCACACAAGACATGAAAAAGCATCATGACAGAGGAAAGAAAAGAAACATTAAAATAGAAAACTAAAAAATCACTGAAATTATTAAATCTGAAAATATGTTCAAATAAAAATAATTCAAATGAAATTAACTGAAATAAAAAAAGTACAAATTTAAAAAGAGTTAAAAGTTACAGTGCAGAGTTAAAGTTTAAAATCTTATTAAAGCTGTTTAATGAAAGGCAGCTGTAAACAGGTGAGTCTTCAACCTGGATTTAAAAGAGCTGAGAGTTTCAGCAGACCTGCAGTTTTCTGGGAGTTTGTTCCAGATATAAGGAGCATAGAAGCTGAACGCTGCTTCTCCATGTTTGGTTCTGACTCTGGGGACAGAGAGCAGAACTAAGAAATAATGTCTAGATTGTGATGGTGTGGGGGCCCCTAAAGGGGTGATGTCAGGTGGGTGGAGGCATATAGCTTAAGTAACAGATGTGAGGAAACACCCTGGTGACTCATGCATAACAGCTTTTTCCTCCAAGACACATTAGGAGAGGTGTTAGACCCACACATACACACATTGAGATTCTTTAACTGTTAGGTTTGCTTTTCCTTTTTATTGAGTTTTTAACTTGAACAGTACAAATCGCTGCATGATGAACAGAATACAAAATATAAAGCCACCCATCCCTACCCAAACCCTCTCATCTCCCTGATCCACCACCCAAAACCACCCTCAGCCCCCCCCCCGCAATGCTTTTAACAACAATGAAAGCATAATGTACTGTCTACATTTACACATATACATACATTTATCCACATACAGTTAGTGAACACGAATACTCCAGGCATTTGCAGCTGCTCCTATTAAACCCCATAATCATAAAGAGGGCTATGTGTCATTCCAATTTGTTATCCCAGTAACAGTTTTTACTTTACTTTTAATTATATCTCTGGTTATCTAGTCATTATTAGGATTGTTTTTCCACTACAGCTGCTGTGGTTCTATTTCCTAACTTTTATTTGCTTTCTTTTTTTTCCTGAAAATGTTTCACTTTTTGAAACAATGCCAGTAGTTATAGCAATATCCTCTCCATAAGCATTAGTTCAATTAAATATTCATTTAGTTCTCTTTCTATAGTGGTGAAAGTGGTTCTGGAAAATCCGAGGCATGTAAGCACATAGTGAGACACCTGACAGCCCGCTCCAGCCCCAAAGGCCTCGCCTTGGAGTCCAGAATGAAACATGTAAGTATGTGGGTGCTCATCCTGAAAGCTCATTTGGCTTAGGAACATGTGGCATTACCACAATATCATCTGTATTATACATTTAATATTTTGAGTGACAAAAAACAAACTGAATATTGTTATATTTCTCTCCATGCGTACTTTACCAAACTGCATTTCATCTCTGATCAGAACTCCATTTCCTCTTTGATGAAAGTTTAGATAGCACACAGTGTGCTGTGGTGTTGTTCACAGCTGTGTTAAAGGGTTAACATGTGATTTTTCACACTTAAATGTAGAAATCAAGTATATCCTCTGAAAATAACTCTGTGAGCCATGAGTGTCTACAATGGGTGTAACACCCGAGTCCCACTGTCTGTGATGTTTTCAGAGTTTTCAGAGTCCTATCTTCAGTTTGTTTACATCGCCAGGACGGCCGGCTGACTCCTCCCCTCGTGTATAAAAGTTGTTTAATTGAGGGACTAGAGAAAAGAAGAATAACATACTGTACCTCACTGCTTTGACCCTCTGGTTGATTGCATCATTAAAATACCCTTAAGGATGGCTCATTTAGTAATGTGTCTGTATGACATAACCGTTTGCAGAAGAGAACATGTTTGGGCATTATTTGTGATAAGTTACAGCCTAAAGAGTATTGATGAGATGAGAGTACAGTAGAATATCAATATCCCACATCCACTCACATCACATTGGGACATTTTCATGGTGCTTCCCACATGGTTCCCCAGCTCCGTGCTCAGTCTATCAGTTGGTTAACAAAGCAGTGTGTTGTCTTGAAGTAAAGAGCTTCGTTCTGATGAAGTCATCGCTGTGTCGTCCATAACTGGGTCAGCTCACTCTCTGATCATGCTAGGACACAGACATTTATAAATACACACAAAATGGATGAATATCGACATCTAGTGGTTGACAGAGGAATGGAAGCAGAAATTAATTTAAGTCTTTGAAAAAGATAGATACAAGTTTTTTTTAATCCTTACTAGTAAACCTTCATAATCCATTCTTGAATTCATTTCTTATGATATTCCAATAACTGATCGAATGTCGGTTTGTTTGATCAAACATGCAGGTTAACTCTATCCTGGAGGCCTTCGGTCATGCAAAGACTCAGAAGAACAACAACTCAAGCCGCTTTATAAAGCTGTTGACCATCCAATACTGTGACAAGAGGAGGACGCTGCTCAGAGGTAAACACTCATTCATTTAATTTAACACAGAATGTAAAATGATCGGTTTGTTTTTTTGTAGTTTTCACTTTCACTTTGTTAAGTGGTTTCTTTATTCAACATATAAGACCTGAGTAGGATTACAAGTACTTGATTCTTCTTTATATTTAAATTTTTTAGTTTACACACATTTGTTCTTTATTATTATATAACTAGAATATGTATTTCCATGGTAACTTTGCTGATAGTTATTGCTTCTTTTAATGCTCATCTTGTGATTATTCAACGAAGGCAGCAGACATGAAATTCACAACACATCCATGTCACAGCAACACTGTATAATAGATTTCAGATGCAGTGTCTTGAAACACCAGCAGGGGGCAGTAAAAGCCCATGAGTCTGTACTCCATTTCTGCAGGCGTGCTCACCTTATTTTACCCCAGTTAATTCTATCACTCAGCACTGACCACTTAACAGTGGCAACAGAATGACTCTTCAGTACTGCCACTGTCAGCACTCTGTGAACGTTGTTTTACACACCTGTTATTAAAGTATGAACCACGTCTGATGTTTTTAGCTCGACTGTACACGTACATGCTGGAGAAGTCCCGCCTGGTGCACCTGTCTCCTCAACAGCACAGCTTCAGCATCTTCTATCTGATGGCTGAAGGCATGTCGCCTGAGGAGCATAGTGCACTTTACCTCAACAATGTCCTGACTCATAGGTATGTGTTGGTCAGTCTCTGTTTGTATAATAATGAGAGTTTGTAATGTTGTAATAAGCGGCTCAATCCCAAAATGTTCACATTATACAATGGTATGAGATACCCTGAGAGCCTGTTTTAGTGCTGTTAAAGGCTTTCTATGTGATTTTTCACACTTAAATATAATATAAATCAAGTCTATTCTCTGAAAATAACTGAGAGTCATGACTGTCTACAATGCCGAGTCCCACTGTCTGTGATGTTTTCAGAGTTTTCAGAGTCCTAGCTTCAGTTTGTTTACATCGCCAGGACGGCCGGCTGACTCCTCCCCTCGTGTATAAAAGTTGTTTAATTGAGGGACTAGAGAAAAGAAGAATAACATGCTGTACTCACTGCTTAACTGTGTTTCTAGATCACGCTCATTTCAGGTAAATTTACATGCAGTGTGAAGATACCAGCATAATAAAGATCGCTAGCATTAGCATGCTAACACAACAATGCAGCGCAAGTTGTTTTGGTTTCATGCTGGTGCTCAAGGGCGACATCTGCTGGATCAAAACATCACAAAGCCTTTAACTGTCAACATCTGTATAACTGTAATTCTTCATTTGTTTGTGCCTTTATCTGAATGTTCTTACTTTATCTGTTTTGTTTTTCTGCTTCATTTTTCTCTACTCATGCGTGTTCTAACTAAAGTGACCGTGAGTCTGACTGTGCTGTTATCTACTGTATGCCACCGGTGTTTTAAGCATTGACCTGAATCAGTCTGCAGCTTGGAACAATACTGGAACCCCTAGAATCACAACAAACCTATTGAGTCTTTCTGGTTTGCTCGTTCACGTTCTGCAGTTTTCAAACCTTATTTTCACTTCTCCATAATGTTTAATGGTCTGTATGTCATTTTGCACAAAACTTTTTTGCACAAAAAAACAACATTTTGCTTTGAGGTCTTTCCAATCCAAAGAAATGTACACAAAGCCCTGCTGAGCACATTGATCCACTTATCATAGAGTCTACTTCCTCATTTGTTTGTTCTGCTTGTGTCGTTGGTCGATATAATGTGGTCTTTATCGCCTCATCATCTTGTCCTTATTCCAGGTATCTTAATGGAGCAGTTGCGGGGGAAAAACCTCCAGTAGCGACAGCCTCGATCCAAAGCAGGGAACGCCTGGCAGCAGTCAAACAAGCCCTGCGAGCCCTGGGCTTCAACAAGCAGGTATCGATTGACTTCTGTTCTTCCTGTTTATTCAAAAGGTTGTTGACAGCAGGGATCATTCAAAGTGTTGATGTCAGAGAACCTGAAATAGCCACTTATGAGGTTATTGATGGGATGTACCTGAGAATTTAGCTACCTAGAGTCACAGCTCGGATCCTGTAAGAGATGTGCACACAAAAATGGATCCTACAGAGTATCTTTACATTATTTTAACTTCAGCCATATGGAGAGCATAACTAAAGGGGTTTTTTTTGGACCACAATCTACTAGTTAAAGACATGGTACATTGTAATCTCAGACTTCTTAAGTTGATGAATATTGCACATAGAATAGAATATGTTCCCTTTCATAATTGAGTACAGTGTGCATTCTGAGGATCATCATCATAAACCTTTATTTAAGTTCTCGGAGAGATCATTGAGGGAAACCCGCATTTACAATGATGCAGAGAAAACATACATAAATGATAAACAACGAGAAATTAGATAAAGCTACTACAGAAAATAAAAGAGCAATAAGAACAATACAATATGTACACTGAAATAATTTTAAAGGTTGAATTTACAACAGTGATAAGTCAGTAATTAAAATCAAATAAGACAGTTACAGTCAGGTATTTGATACAAGAGGCTGCAAGCACACATCCTGCATAAATGTTTAGATTTCTTCAAATGATGTTTTCAGATATCTATCACAAGACAATATATGACGCGTCTGATCACATACAAAGGGTGCTGTACAGTCTGTCCTGTGCACCACCATCGCCCGCCTTGTTCCCGGGCCCATTATCACGTTCTATTCTTAGATTCCCAGTCAGCATCTGTCAGCAGTGAGTGACCACTATCTCACCTTTTAATCAGCGACAGTAAATACACGCAGGG